GCAAAAAACACATCGCCAGGGAGGTGGGGGAATAAAACCAGTTCTTGGCTCCGGTACTTACGCAGCAATGAGCATAGCAGAAACACCCAAAAGCTGAAGTTTCTTTCTAGGGATGACATTCACTGATAAGAATCTGTCAATGTAGGAAACAGTAAGATACAATGTGTCCGAAAGAAGCTTGTATTCATCTGTAACTTCGACTAGCCAGTCGACCAAAACCCCTCTCATGTTTGCACCCACATCCTTCTGAACCTTCTCAAGGTAATCAGGCAATGGTCTTCTCTGTTTCTGAATCTGATTCGATAAACCGCAGAGTAAGTCAAAAACTCAAAAGCCCCAATATTAATAACTTGTTAAAGTACTTCACACAAACACAAACAACTTCAAATAGCTGTAAATCAAGATTTGCTAATTCAATCACATAAACCACAACCCATTTGCCAAAAATCCAATCTTTAGAGTACCCATTTCCAAAATCATCCATAAGAAACCAAATCAAGCTCTATTAGGTAACACCCAAATAAATAAACTATATATAACAATAGTTAAATTCAAAATTTATGGAAAAGAGTAAATAAAAATGCACTAACCTCCATTTGATGAAGATAATCATATATATCAGAAACATAAGCACTACACATCTGAGGGTCATCAGAGCTTTTCACCTTCCTCCTAGTAATCTGCTTACATTTGGGTCTCAGAGGCTCAGAAACAAACACCTTGTTCTCAATCTGATTGATACCCACATTAGACAAATCTTGAATCTCACTCAACACAACTCTCTTCTTGTTGGGTTGTTGCAAGTGCTGAACCATTGCTTCTGCTGCCCTTTTCTTGGCCAATCGAGTTACTCTTACAAAATTTTCTTGGTCTGCCATCGCTTGCTGCTCCCTTTTCCTCTGTGTGTACGCATGTATATATATATGGCGCCATAAGGAGTTGTCTTGTTGGGGCAAATTTTTGGCTAATTGTTTTTTCAGATTGAATTTTGAAAAGTGAGATTTGAATTTCCCTCCATTACATTCCCTCTTTGGGAAATCAATGGAGAGAGAGAGGTGGGCTTTTTGTTCAGTTGGGCCACTTTCTGTCCTTACATAATGTTACACCTCTGTAATTGAGTGATAAATCTACAAGAAAAGTAGAGTACGAGATATAGCTATTATGAAAAGATAGAATAAAAAATGAAATATAGTTAGTAGTATTAAATAATAGAGACAAAAAAGAAAAAAATAATAAGGTAATGACGCGATCACACCAAATTGATCGTTACAATAAATGAGTTTTATGTGGTTGTGATCTTAGCCATGTTTCATTATTATCTAGTGGTGCCGCGTATTCTCATTCTTTGAGAAAGCTTTCTCCGTCTTATCTAAAATTAGATGATAACATGCTTCAAACTCTATTTAATAGTTGTCCTTGACGGTCTCTTTCGTCCTTAAGCATTGTTGGGGGTTGAAAAATATTGAGCTTTTGAAACTTCAAAAGATCAAGTCAATTTCCATAACAGCTAATGGAAACAAACATGCTAAAATCCAACTACCAACTCTTGAACACTTGTCTTATTGTGGTTGTGGATCGAAAATATTGGATATTGATGAATATCAGAACCTGAAATCTTTAGAGCTATCAAGTGTGAGGACATCTGACGGATTTCTCCGTAAATTTCAATCCCTGAAGGTCTTGAAGATTCAGCATTGTCGGGATATAAGGAATTTTGATTCTTCATATTTGATATCACTTGAGTATATGGGAAGTCAAATTCCTAAACTTAAAAGGACAAGTGAGTCGAGCCAATTGAATGCACTTGTTCGTTTCCAAGAACCTGAATTTGAGTCACTATTATTGTTAATAAACCTCTTATCATGAATCGTTATTGTTATTGCTATCATTGATGGACAGGGCAAGACAAATTGACTCGTGTGCTCGTTTTGCTACCTATATGGATATGTGGCATGTAATATCCATTTTTTAGTGTTGCTTAGCATAAGGTATGAGCTTTAGCCTCTATGGCGATTGACACATGGTTCTTGGACCTAGCTCATCGCGATTACTCAGGATGACTGGATGAGTTCTCCGTTTGTGAAGCAAGTTGAAGTAAGAGATGATGGCAAGAAAGGAGTTCTCCTTAACGGGTTCTCAGAGAAGCCTGAATTGAGTGTGGAAACCAAATGGAACTGCAGATGGTAACAGCCTGAAGTTTCATACGCTTTCTGTAACTGTTTAACTATGTGATGGTGTTTGATTTGTCCGTGAGTTTAGAATGTTAATACAACTTATATAATATACTTAGATTGACGGAAGAGAATACTTCATTAGAGTAGTGGTTGTAAAGAGAGCAAATATCAAATCAGAGTTAGTAAGATGAATGAATTTCAGTATTTGAAAGTTGTACATAAGTAGAATGGTCAAATATTTTTGGAACGTCCCAAAAAGGAAAGAGTGTCATATGAATTGAAACTGACGGAGTAACAAACAAGAAAATAAGGCGTGCAACTTACAAACTCTTGACTAGAGTTAACACTCTTCTTGTTTTCTTTTGTTTCTAAGTTGATTGTAATAGAATTCGTTACAATCTTGAACTAATTCCACATCGGTTAAAGGTATCGAAGCAGCATACAGAATTGAAGAAAATGACAGGTACAACATTGGCATCATAAATTGATCAAGCCCCAAAGGTGTCATACTTCTCATGAATGTGTACATTTCATCAACAATGTACGATATAACGAAAGCAAAGAGCATGTGTCTCAATTTGTCATACCTGTCTCCTCAATACGTCATTCTGGCAACACCTGATACTGTAAGTCCAAACCTTTTCTTTATAAACATCAAGAATGTGAGACATAATGAATCAATAATGTGTCAACTGCTGCAGCAAGACCTGTCTGGAAACGTATGTTGAGATATCTTTCATTGCTCGTTTCGTCACTTTTCTTGGAGTTTTAGGTAATCTCTCAAGCAATTGAAAGTTACATAATAGATCAAGAATTGTATTAGTAGTAAAAATGTTGGCTTTAACTAATGTTGCAACAGGACTAGCAGTTATAATCACTTGCTCTATACTGAAATCTTTGGGGGCTTGTCATGATGAAAGTTATGCAGTAACCGAGAGCGATCCAATTTCGCAGCATCAGGAAGTAAAATCAATTTATGGAACATATGAAGAAGAGGCAAATTGTGGCAGATCAAGTTCTTCAGAGGATTTATATGATGAAAGAATATGTGTTATCTGCTATGACAATTCAAGAAACTGTTTCTTTGTTCCTTGTGGTCATTGTGCAACTTGCCAAGTATGTGCCCAAAGGTAAATTATGTTTTTGACTTTTCACACAGTCTCAATCTATGTTGCTCGGATTCTCCAAAAATTGTGTCATGCCTGTGTTGGATCCCTAAGTTGCTTGAACTCAGGTGCAAGTGTCCGATACAGGTGGCGGATCTAGAGGTTGGATCCTCTATGATCTAAATTTTAAGATTCGAGGATACGGATCCGTGTGGATGCAGGTGCTAAAAATAATTCAAATATTTAAAAATAGAGTTATATAGCTTAAATGTATGAGATATTACGTGGAAAACTTGAGAAATTTTTTATATAAATACAATGTGTTTCATTTTCTTCAATTTCACCTCAGTTTTTGTTTTGATTAAATTAATCATTGCATCTGTTCAGAATTTCTCCCTCGAATTTGGTCAAAGTACTCAAAACCGATTGACCCGATTGGGTACGGATCTCACAGCCACACCTACGTCGTGACTATACGGGTGCAACACCAAAAATGAAGGATCTGAACAACTTAGTTGAATCCTCCAAAAGAGGGTATTTTAGAGGATCCGGGCTCAACGATGAGCATTTTTGAAAAGTCCGAGCAATATAGATCTCAATCTCTCAATATAGTTATGAAGATTCTCATGAGAGTAGTTTCCTGCAGGATCATGGATGTTGATAATAGGTTGTGCCCAATGTGCAGAAGCCCAATTCATAAAGTTAGAAAGTTTATCATTCCTTTAATTTGAAGCCTTGACCTTGTGCAACTGAAATAGAATATTACTATCGAAATTGAATTGTACATCCAAATAGTCTTAAGAAGATATATACTTATTTACTATTCGTACAGACTTGACAGAGTTAAGCTGTGTTGAGGAAATTATTTTGTCAGAATTTTTTTTCTTGGGACATTTTAGAAATTCCAGGACAATTCATGGCTCATACACTTGGTCAAAAAAAATAATTCAACAAAGTCCATGAATTCACTTATGGTTTAATTAATAATCGAGCTCTTTCTTAAAGAATTCAAATACGTGAACGCAAAATTGTTTTTCTATATATTAAAAGATATGATTTTAATATGTCAATTTCAAATGCGTGAACGCAAGTTATTGTCGTACTTTATTATTGTTTTTCTATATATTAAATTAAAAGATATGATCTTAAAACATTTTGCAAGATCAACTTGTTTTAAAAAACTCTTTTTTTTTGCTTTGTTATTTGAACCTTATCAACAATTCCCAAAAATGTCCATTCTTTCCTCTTCATTAAAAATTCAATTTCACAGGTAAACATGTGTTCAATTTTAATAGACCTTTAATCTATTAATAATGATGTCATGCTCTACTTTACTCCTAGATAATTGAAAGTTTAAAATATAATTAAAACATAATAAACTTTCCATTGCATATATTTGAAACAAAAATAGACCAACATATTTTTACTCTTAACATTTGTTATTTTGATAAAGATATTTATTAATAGTTTGAATTTTCATAATATTGGGCCCACACTATTCTTTATTTTTATTTTTTTTATTTCCCATGTCCGGTGTCGGAGCTTCAACTAAATTCGGATCACATATTGCAAGGCTCATTCTGCTCCATATCTAGAGGTTGAACTCGAGACTTCTGATTAAGAATGGAGCAGTTCCATTGCTGCACCACTACCTATGTTGGTGGGGACATGCTATTCACCCTAGTTTAACAATACTAGCATGCTTGGCACCTTGCCATCCACAAATGATACCTAGACAACAATAGTATAAATAATGATCAAGTGAGCAAAGTTGTCAAGAAGTCTTCTTTGCTTGTTTTTGCATCAACCATGGAAATTTCATATTACATACTCATCTTCACTTTCCTATACTTACTAAAGAACCATTTCCTTGGAAAATTCCAAAATCTCCCACCAAGTCCCTTTATCTCTTTGCCCATTATAGGCCATCTATATCTACTCAAGAAAAAACCACTTCATAAAACATTAGCCAACATCTCAGAAAAACATGGTCCTTTGCTTTACCTTCGATTTGGATCGCGTCCAGTCTTGGTTGTCTCCTCCCCTTCTCTTGCAGAGGAATGTTTCACCAAAAACGACATTGTTTTTGCCAATCGTGTGAGGCTGCTTGCTGGAAAACATCTTGGTTACAACTATACCAGCCTTGTTTGGGCATCCTATGGCCAACATTGGCGCAACCTAAGAAGGATTGCTACTCATGAAATCTTGTCCACTCAGAGAGTTCAAATGTTTGCTGATATCCGTAGAGATGAGGTTCGGGCTCTGCTGCAACGACTTCTAAGGGGGGAAACCAGTGGTGGAGATACTAACACAACTGTGGTGGATATGAAGGCGGCTTTCTTTGAGATGACACTGAATATCTTGATGATGATGATTGCTGGGAAGAGATACTATGGTGATTCTGCTGGGAAATTGGAGGAATCTAGGAGGTTTAAAGAGATTGTTATAGAAACTTTCCAAGTGAGTGGTGCAACAAATATAGGAGATTTTGTGCCACTACTTAAATGGATAGGAGTAAACAAACTTGAGGATAAGGTTAAGTTACTGCAGGAGAAGAGGGATAAATTCATGCAAGAATTGATTGAAGAGCACAAGAACCGTCGAAAGGGATCTTCTTTAGAGCAAAAGAACAATACCATGATTGATGTTCTCTTATCCCTCCAAGATTCAGAGCCTGATTATTACACAGATGAAGTGATAAAGGGCATGGGAATAGTCATGTTAACAGCAGGGACTGATACTACAGCTAGCACAATGGAATGGGCATTATCATTTCTTCTGAACAATCCTGAGGCACTAAAGAAAGTTCAAAATGAAATAGACACTCACCTTGGAGAGGCATCAAGATTACTTGATGAATCGGACCTTGCTCAACTCCCTTATCTCCATGGAATCATAAACGAAACTCTCCGATTGTGCCCAGCTGCTCCATTACTTGTGCCACACGAGTCCTCGGATGAGTGTATCGTTGGAAGTTTTCATGTACCCCGTGGGACAATGTTGCTAGTGAATTTGTGGGCAATACAAAATGATGCTAAATTGTGGGACAAGCCAAATGAGTTCAAGCCTGAAAGGTTTATCGATTTCAAAGGTCAACGAGACGGGTTCAGGCTAATGCCATTTGGATATGGCAGGAGAGGATGTCCAGGTGAGAATTTGGCAATGCATGTGGCTGGTTTGGCATTAGGATCACTTATTCAGTGCTTTGAATGGGAGAGAGTAAGTGAAGAGCTGGTTGACATGACTGGAGGACCTGGACTCACTATGCCCAAAGCAATACCATTGCTAGCAAAATGTAGGCCACGCCAAAATACTGACAACCTTCTTGCTCATTTGTAATCACAATTCTCCCCTGCACTCTCTTTCAGACACAACTAAAAAATGCAGAAAAACGACGTTACATTTGTCTATGAGCACTTACTACATAAACATAGGCAAAGCAACATCTAATCTCAAGTAGCCTGCTAATTGTTCACAGCTTGCAGGGCATGATCAGTGTAATTATTGGAGAGGGCAAGCTTCCTGTTCTAGCATATCTCTTCTTTACTTCCTAATACAACAACTACTACGTCTCAATCCCAAACTTCTAGTTGCTAATAAATAGTAACATCTAAGTTATGTTACACCTTCTGCTTTTGTTTGTGCAATACTTGAATACAAATATCATTCAATTTATGCATTGAAATGGATCGTCACGTATGAGCATGCATCGGCATTCATCAAACAAGAGTTCATTACTATGGTGGTTATGACTAATCATGCATGTTTTTCTATATGCATACCAGCTCAGTGTTTTATCAATCATAGAAGGAGGGGAAGAATACATTAAAAGACAAAACAAACGTCTCAGTGTACATCAAAACTTTGATGACTGCATTAAATCAACATTGCTTACAAATCTGTGGGGTGTAAAGTAGATTAGTGAAGTACTATCATTTATAAAGAAACATACATAAAACACAGGAAGCTGGAGTAATCATCCAAGAATCAAATGAGAAAATGAAGGCTCTCATATTTCATAAGCAATCAGAATAACATTTAATATTTTCTATAACAAGGATGGATTCCTTTTCCGCTTATTATGCAACTCATGTAAGAATAATTCGCGGTTAGTTCAAAGCATAGTAGCTCTGTTGTCCAGCTCAGCAAATCATGTTCTTAACAGGTTGACTTGGCCACTAGCCATAATTGCTACAAGCAAACTATTCAAAAAGATGTAAAACCAAAAGTGAACCAGATTATAGTCACCAAAATAAATGTTCTCACTGTTCTCCTGGCGTCGTATAGAGAAATGCACTTGTTTTCATGGTTAGTACACTTCAACATGCACCATTGATTATCATCTTAGCTCCACCTCCTTCGATCTTCTTCCTCATCCACTGAAGTGTACCATGGTGGTCTTTGCTTTGAGTTGCTCAATCTGTAGTTCAGGAGAATTTCTTCATTACTAATTGCTCGAGTTGCCACAAGAACGAGCGTCTTTAGAACAGGGACATCTAATCCATTCTTGCCGGACTTCCAAGATTTGAACCAAAAGGTGCCAAACCTCCTCATGTTTGCTTCTTCACCATTTCCAAATGAAATATTTGGTATATAGACTCTCATGTGCTTCTCTGGGAGAGGAAAGTCATAAGGGCATACCATTACATTTGGTACCATGTCTTTTGCTGGGTGGTTGGCAAAGTGAGCAAAGGCCAGAGGGTTTCTCCTTTCCAGCACTTCATGGTTGCCTCCTAGACGTATTCCATCCAATGGCTTGCTGAGCATTTTCCATATTCGCTCAGAACCCTTTCCATCAGCTTGCATGAAGTGCTTAGGTTCAGGAAGAGACGACCCATCCCATATTTCACGAGATTCACCACCAGCACCCCATGGTTGTGCATTTATCACAGTTCCATCATACCGTGTGATCAAATACGAATTTTGGGCGTCAACTCTTGGATATCCAGGAATATAGCGGTAGTATGCAGGAGAGTATATTACACCAGGATAGAATGCTAACACAGTACCAACATCAGCTTCACCATGTATGAATAAACCTTGCCCAGCATCCTCATGTGGAATTTGAGAAGGTTTGACCTCGAGAGTATAGCCCATAAGATCCTTTAAACTCTGTGAAACCTCTGTGCGCTTCAATGGCTTGCTTTCAGGTATAGCTGTGCTGAAAGCAGAACAGTAATCAAAATCCAGGGCGTAATGCAGCTAATTCAACTAATCCACACTTGCAGAGAAAAAGAAAAACTTTTGTCCGAGACAACTGGAAAGCTTGAATATAATACATGTGAGAACACCAAAAAGATATAGGAACTATGATCTTATGTCATATCCCACTTTTCAAGAGTTTATTGTACACAACTTATGGGAACTGTCCAACAAATACCTATGGATCCACATTTCCAAGATATGGACTTTTATGAACGACCAAAATGTCTAGATACAAAATTAAGTTACTAATTTCCAGAAAGTCCTAAAGAAAGCATCATTAGCATTATTTGTTTTATTTCTACTTACCGTAAGCCCAATACTTAACAACCAAACAATAACAACAAAAATGGAAGTATGATCAAATCCAAAATGGTTATGAAAGCAAAATCAATTACTCTACTTGTTATATTTGAATTTTATAGTAATCACATGTGATGAGTATAATGCTTGTTAGACTACCAGAGTCAAAAAGGAAAAGAATTGAAAAGTGAAAAGAAATTAAATATTTAGTACAAGATGTATCTAGTAACAAATGAACATAAGCAAGTTACCAGGATAATATGGTGTTACTGTCACTAGCTACTACTATTGTTGTTATTCTGAAAGGACTTGTATTAATCTAGGGATTCTACTTTTTTCTTGATAAATAATCTAGGGTCCTTTATGAGGAAATTGTTAATAACTAAAGATTCTTTTACTCTCTAAAATTTTGGATAGGATAAAGGACAAGATTTAAGAATCCATCACCAGAGCAAATAACAATTATACTCAACTTTCTTCAAACATATATTGCATTCAACTATAAGTAATTTATTATTTAAAAAAACTATTAATAAGCCAATGAAACTTTTTGTTTAGAGGAGTCATGGTCTAATTACAGCAAGAACAGAGAATAAATTTAATAAGCAAGTCAAGATCACCAGGTCGCTTACCAAGGAAAATAAATTTCATCTAAACTTTCATTAAGGATTCCCTTCCATCACTTAGATATAGCATCATAAGTGAAAAGCAAAGTCAATCAACATTTGAGTAAGGATTGTTATTTTTGAAGTAATTTTACAAAGAGTGTATCGGTATAATGATAGCCTCTGTTGTTATAGGTCGGACAATGCTATAGAGAAAAAATATAACATGAACAATCGTTCCCAAGAAAACTCGAAATGTAGTTATAGAGGATGGTTGTGATAGAGAGGTTTAATTGTACAAGGATGATCAAAGGCTTGAATCAAGAATCCCTAGCAAAGAAAAATCCGGAGTATACTCACAATGCTAAGGTTGTAGCTGTCTCATACAGCAATAAACTAGGAGAACCAAATCATGGAACAGGCCTTTAAAAGACCCGAGTCATATAAATCAGAAGCTTAACCGAGGTAAAAAGGGAAAATTTCTTTAAATTTTAGCAATTGACATACACACAGCTCTGTTTGGTGAATCTAGTAAGCTAAGAGGCTTGAGCTGAGGATTAAATTCCATCCACCTAATCAATTTGCAAATGATCACAATGAATCTACACATCTAATTTCAGGCATTACATTCCACGAACTAGTCTAATTAGAATTACATTGAGTTCGTTTTTTGTTTTTTATGGCTAGGAGTTGAAATTTGTCTTCCTAATCTGACATAACATAGCAAAAGCAGGATAGCAAGGGATCACCTACGTGTATGCTAAAGTTGGGCACCCGTTCTAACAAATTTGAGAAAAGCAACAAACTTAAAAGGTGCTATGGAAATTCAGCTTAAGATCTTACCGCTGTGGTCCTTTAATGGAGCAGTCCTACCAATAGCAAAACTGAGCCCACTGCGACGAGGAGAAGAATTATTTTCGGAAGATGGTGTTCCCGGCTTGTCCTTGACCGTAAGATCAGGTTGTAATATGTGATCCATATATTTGCAAAAGCTTGTAATCTGGGAATGCACATTTTCTTGGACCTGCTTCTGTTGATCAGCTAGGGAGGCCTTGCCAGCCATGTCAATGATCTCCTCTGCATCAGTTTCAACGGCATCCTTCCCCAAACGATTGTAACTGAAAGGTGAAATTAATCATGCAAAGTTAAAACTGTAACTTGTGAAACTTAAAGCATATAGGACATACAATTTCACCATCATAGGTTTCATAAAAGCAATTCATCAGAAAAGAAATTAGTTGCAGGCAAGATCCATAGAGGACTATAATTTATTGCAACCCCTTCCCCCTCTGGATTGATATATATTGCAACTAGTGTTAAAGACTTAAAGCAACAGTTCTCTTAAGAAGAAACAAAAAAGAAAATGTAGAATAAGGATTGTTGGGTGATGACTCAAGTAAAATCCTAGCTCTTGAAAGAATTGAAAGAAGCAAAACATTCATCAGTACTTCAACTAGTCCTGTACATGTTTGTCAGCACGGAGAAAAGACCTTACTCAACTCAAACAACTCAAAACAATATAAACTTCCATCATCAAACAAAATATGACCTAACCAGAAAAAATGTAGAATATCCTTATAAAACCTCTGTCCTTTCATAACTTTATCTATTTACAATACAATGGAAACCTATTTATGTAACCCCTGCCCTTTATCTTTCACTTGTTAAAAAAAATCTTATAAGGTTGCATATTTATATATTAAATGAAAAACTCAATAGCCTGTAGAATTGTATTTACATGAAGGAGCCCATCTTGGTTGATCAAATTACTCATACAGAAAGCTGAATCAAACTGACAATCTTTTCATTCTAAAAGTGGCTTAACGAGGAAAAGTACAAATGATGTAGCCAAACAACTTGGCTCTGCCAATTCTTGGCACAAGCATCAATGATAAAGCTATGTTCTTGGAGTAAATTTCAAAGAGCAAAGATAAAACCCAGAGTTGATTGACTTATTTATATATAAAACGCAATTAAGTTGTAGTTGTCTCACCAATCTATTTACAGGAAACACCAGCATCATAGACAACAACATTACTTTTCCTTTAAGTGTTGAAAATGATCCTTACCTAGTGTAAAGAAAGAGGCGGTTTACATCAGCTTCAAACTGAAGACTCCTTGGATCTTTAGCAAATGTGGGACTTTTAGCAAGAACTTTAACTGCCTAAAAATCATTTCAGAAAGCAAAATACTTCAACTTCAGGAGATTAAATACACCAATATTCAACACAATACAACAAGTACATACCATATTTTTTAATCACAAATACCATAAAAAAGTATTACTCCCTTCGTTTCAATTTCTCTGTCTTACTTTCCTTTTTAGTCCATTTCAAAAAAAATCTCTTCCATTTTTTGGCAACTTTGCAATTTTAACTTTGGACGCGCATGTTTAAGACCACAAAATTAAACCATATTTTGGTACATTTACATATCTTTAGTTTAACACCACAAGATTCAAAAGTCTAAGTATTTACTTTCTTAAACTCTATGTAAGTCAAAAACCAGATAAATAAACTAAAACAGAAAGAGTATTATAGATCACAAATTCAAAAGTTTACACCACAAGATTCAAAACTCATTCT